TACAAATTAATTGTATTCAGTTGTGTTTTAGGCACTAAAACAGCCCAGTATAGTCAAATACATTTCTATATTGAAATAATTAAGATTTCTGTGCCACCACAGACTGGTTGCTGGCCCCTTCCTGGCCACCCCTATGAAAACATCCTGGCTCTGCCACTGCCTAAGAGGATATCAGTTCATTTCTGAGTATCTCTGTTGCTCAAAAAAAAAAAAATTGTTTGTGAATGGGCATTTGATTTACATTTGAGAGAAATTGAGAAGATTGTAAAAGAGGATACAAACTAGCCACCTTTCACTGAAAATTGCATTTTTAATTCAAAATAGGCCATCTGTGTGATTCAAGTAGATCCGATGAGTTGAAAACTCATCTTACTTGGCTAGGCTAAATGGGTGATTTTCGCGTGTCATTTAAATGCATTTCATTAAACTTGATGTAGCACTGCTTTATTTATTTGTCTTTATTTTGAATGGGGATAACTGATGTATTTGAATAACTATTGTAGCCTAATAACTATTTATTATAATTCATTCAAATAAATTCAATTTTGCCACCCAACCGTGTCTGAATTACATTCAGGAGCACATAAGCTGTTGTCAACACTGCCCTGCACCTGTATAAAATACCTAAGCTTAAATTGCTACATTATATTTCTCAGCAGCGAGAGTAACACCATGGCGCAGGTATAGGCTACTTCACACACGCATCTCTTTCTCGCTCAACAGTTAATTCAAATAAATACTATAATTAATTCAAATAAATGTAATCTTACTGCACTACTTAATATATTTGTCTGCTCTGTCTTAGCGAGTAGAATGCTACATCTAACAAGTTGTAACTGACGAAAATAACCATTATTTTTATCGTTCCGGTCAAATATTGCAGCGCAAATATTATTAACATATTTAATATGTGAATGCCTTTAATATGTGAATTATCCCTTACATATACAGTCAACCAAACATATAGATACACTCGTTAATTAATATAATCTGTAGTACAATTTGCGTTAAGTACAAAGCCATGGTTTACATACTAAATAATAGTTTAGCAATCAAATACATCATGAATATGGAAACATTTGGATTTGTGCTGAATGAGAGAAAAAAAAAAATCTTAGTACTAATGATGAATTAACAGTAAGGGAAGGGAGAGTCAGGAGCAGAAGGAGAGTTGTGAATTCACTGAAGAGACTATAATCAGAAATATCAAATGTCAGAGTTCATCTCACCTGCTCTTGAGCTCATCTAGTGGACTGAAAATGAAAAGTACTACATGTGGGAGAAAAAGTATCTGGCACAAAAGTGTGATACATTTACACTCAATGCAATGAATTAAACCAGAAAAGACCATTACGATTTAAAGAGAATTACTTTATTCTGTTTGTAATTGCTTTATTTTTGGGTGTACATTTTAATACATCTTAGTGTAATGAAAGTTAAAAAAAATAAAATAAAATAAAGTATATATATATATAAAAAAAAATAATGCAGAGCAAAATCAATGTAAATCACTTTAAGTTTCTGCTCATCCAATACAGCTATGTCCTATATAATTCTAACATACCTGATAGACCTGATAGAATTAACAGGTACATTTTTATAACATTAATCACTGTAGGACAGTTGGATGTTTATATCATTCAGTACATTGAGATGCTAGTTGGGTTGTTCGTTTTCTGTCAGTTGATCGAATAACAAGTTGTGTCTCAATTGTTCACATAGTTTTATTTCATCAGAATTTATTCATTTTTTTAATAGTCTTTGTTTTGTTAGATCAATTTCATTCATGACATTCTGTAACTGATTGATTCCTTTCCTCATTTCATCAATGAATTTCTTTGCTTTTTTCTTGAACTCTTTTTCATTTATTTGTTTATGTGCGGGTGTTTCTTCAGGGTTGTCATCTTGCTCCTCTTTGTCTTCGATGATCTCTTCCAGAATTTCAAGCACAGAACTCATCTCAGCTACAATTTCTGAAGGATCTCCAGTCAAATGTTTCCGTGCACCCACTTCTCTGCTGCTATCTCTCTGGAAGAGGTGTATTTTTTCAAAGCTGTAGGAGAAACGTTCCCGTATTGCATTGGCTTTGTGCTTTGATAGTGTAGGGTCTCTCAGTATTTCCTGAGTACGATTAAAAATCTTCTCTAGCATGTTAATAATAGGGCTGATTTTCTTCTGAAAGTCCTCAAGTTCTTTTTCTATGGTTTGTCTTAAGTTCTTCTCCTGCTGTGTTTTCTTGAATTCCCCAATAGCAAGAGCAATTCCACCACCTGCGAGCGCAGCTGTCCCTAATCCAGAGACAATGGTAGAAGCCCCTCCAGTAAATGCAGCTAAAGCTAATCCTAGAATTATGCCAGCAACTCCAACACCTCCAGATATCATTGCTCCTCTAGAGATGTTAGTAGCATGTCTGAAATCTTTTTCAAACTCATTGACGACTTCAGTCATTTTCTTTATATGCTCATTGCATTCCGGAGAAATTTTCTCATGGAGTCTGTTCAATTCTTCTCTGAGATGAGTAATGTCAGATCTGGAGTAAATAAAACAGAAACATCTGTGTTTTTTTAATAGAAATGTTTATATTTTACAGATTATCTAGTTTATTTTGACACTTTATGCTACAAAAATGAATACATTTTATTAATATTGCCTCATAATAAATTAATTAACCCCATTTACGCCAAACTCTCTCAATTATTCTTGTCCTCTGAATCATGCGAATAACCTAAAAACATAACATAAAAAGCACAAATCTCTCACAGCTTGTCAGTCGGTTCGTTCATACTGCTGCGCTGTCGGCGTCTCTGTGATTCCATTGTGGCTGCAGTTAAATAACACAAGTGAATAGAAAGCGGTTTCATTTTAATCCTGGCTTATAATAACATTTAGTACCAAGTCAAGGCATTTACACACTTTTTGATACTTATTGTATGTTGCAGAGCTACTAGAAATCATTAGAGCCATATACTTGTCATTTTTGTTGTACTTATGCATTTTAATATTGTAACTGAACTTTAACCAAACTTTAGCTTTAAAGTTAGAACTTATTTTCCTTTGTTTGTTTGTTTTTTTAAGATATTAAAAAATATTACAATATTACAATTACAATTGGTTGACTCTTTACAGAAGACTGCTGTCCTCTTGCACATATCACATTATGCTATAACACACACTAGTGTTCAAAAGTTGGAGACAGTAAGATTTTTGATGTTTCTGAAAGAAAGATTCTTATGTTAGGTTACATTATGTGTATTGTTTTGAGATTAACAAAAGCAAAGTTGCATTTACCAGACAAATCAAGTTCAGTATTAACATGTAGAACCTTGTGTCTTGTTGAGCTCGTATTTAGCTTTCCTGGATGCATTATACTATCTTACCCTTTTCTGTACTACCATAAAATATAAAAAAAAAATTCAAAACAGCTATTCTAATTCACAGCTGTCGGAGCAAAATGTGGCTCAAAATTCAAAATGCAATTTACCGACTCACATTTCATAAAAGGAGGATCTTTCATGCTGTCATCACTGGAGTCAGAGTCACTCTGATGGTGATGCATTTTTACTGCTTCTGGATATGGTGACCAATCAGAGACGTGCTGTCAGATCTTTCAAACCCTACAGAGAAAGAGTGACAAAAATCAGGATGGGTAAAAAATCTGAATAATACAGCTTTAATTAAATGGATTCTCACTGTATGTCATGTTTGAGAGTATAAGACGCTTAATATTCATCAGCACATCTTCAAACTCCAAACTAAATTTCAGACACTAAGCAGTTGGTATTAAATGGGCAAAATGTGTTTACCTGTATTTGTTCAGAAGCTGAGAAGCTGTATAGCGCAATACTATAAAGAAAAAAAGTAGAACTTGTAAAATTATGAGAAGCTTTAAGAATCTTCCAATCCTTCGTTTTCAAAATGGTGCATTTAAAATGTATTGTGAAGTGTTAAAGTGAAAGTGAATTCATTATGGCAAGTTAACTATTTATTTTCTTTAAGCACTGTATACAATTGTCCTTATAGGCATAAGAAACCACTTAAACCATTAAACTCAAGAATATTGCAAGAATATCATAATGTGTTCAGGATCTGTCTGATATGATCTGGGTTATTTCTAGTCTGATGTCTGATGGGGAATCTGTCCAGCCATTGACCCAGACATTAACTACGCCACTGGTTTAACCAGAGGTTATGCTGGTAATACCATCTAAAATAACAAGTGTGACATTTTAAACAATTATTACAATATTTACAAGTTGTTTAGTTATTTCAAATGAAGTCTAATTAATATCAGTAATCGTTGTTGCGCCCCAGTGTGTTTAGTTTCGGTTTCGTTTGGATCGCAAGCATTATTTCCATGCATCACTAAATTACCCTTGCAGGTCCAAATACAACTTAATAATGCAAACTGTATATTAATAAACTCGGTCAATGAATAAGCCCAACCTTGTTGCAGTCTTATGTTTTTTGCCTCCTCGTGAATAATGCGATAAACTCAAACTTTATTTGTTGAAACGGTGAAACTGTGGTTTACAGCGACGATAACTAATCCATACAACTTAGTTTTAAACAATTTTCGTAAAACGAAATAAACATGGCGTAAATCGACCCGACTGAAGTTAAAACAAGAACTTTTTTCAGCGTGTTATTTGCTCCGCCCTCCTTTTCCTGTTATTTGCAGACTGTAGCGCGGTGACGTCACGTATCTACGTCACGTATGTGTTTACCGCGCATGCGCAAAGTGACGTAAGGTATGTCTATAACACGCATGCGCATTATTCCCACCACAGCCAGGTGGGCAGTCTTTAAATATTTCACAGCACTGTAGGCACTGGGTCAGTGAATATGGCATCCGGAACTTCTCTCTGTATTGTGCAGAAAATGCACTCCAGTTCACGACACCTAATTTACATAAAAGAACAAACAATATTAAAACAACATTAAATCATTTTGAAGAAAGGCAAAAGAGCCATACAAGGAGAATATTTTAAATGTAATTTAAAATATATTATAGGATGGTGTTAGGAAAAGTGTGTTATTTGCTTTGTCTGTAAAGTACCTAAGAGATTTAATTTATAATTAACATTACCATCAACTATACTGTGTGCATAATTATTAGGCAAGTTGATTTTCTAGTCTTTATCTTTTTTACCAATTCCAAACCACATAAATCTTAACTACTATTGATTTTGTATTGAATCATTTATAAGTGATATAAAATTGTCCATGAAGGCTGGAAGTGAAAAACTCCTTACATACAGGTGTGCAGAATTATCAGGCATGTTTTCTTTTACTGATAAAATGAGCCAAAAAAGAGGTTTAACTCAGACTGAAAAGTCAAATAAATTTAGGTTGGCTTGGCTTGAGAAAGCATAGCCTGAAAGTTTGAAGTTTTTTTTTTTTTTTTATGTGAAAGTTTTACAGTTGAGGGCAAAAAAACAAAAAACAGACAGATAGATGAGAGGAAAGAGACAGACAGACAGACACTCAAATACTTTTTACAGTACTCACTACACATTAGAGTTAAAGAACTTACTGTCTAGCCACATGAAGTGGGCCTCTTCTTTGAATTTTGTCTCACTGACAATGTCCCTAAAAAGCTTGCATGTGAGAGAAAGTCTCATAAAGGCCATGTCTCCGTCGTCTGAGACCACTCTCAACAGGATCTGCCCGAGGATCTCCAGTGGCATCTGTCCAAAATAACCATCAGTCAGTCTAAAATGTGACTGTAGATAAGACATATAAAAAAATGAAACTGATAGATTGACAGGATTTTATACTGTGCTTACCTTGGTCAAGTAATCAACAGGTGGGGGGGTCTTCCATTGCCTCTAAATTGGAGAGTAATAAAAGTAGCATCAATGTCAAAACCCTGTTAATTGTGCTGTACAAGAATTAAAGTAGAACCCATACCTGCTCTTTCTAGTCTCCTCTTTTTTCTGAGTTGTTTTTGTTCCGCGTCTGACCTTCAAATGTTTAAAATATATAGAGCTTATGAAGAGAGTTTGATCTGAATGACATCCCCAGAAGAAGATTTGAAATGCACAGGTTTAGACTGAAATATGTCATGAAATTATTTGCACTTTATAGTTAAAACGTACGATAGCGCATTGCTGCCACAAACATTTATTTTGTCCACTCGATTATGTTGTATAAATGACATCTTTTCTCGTAATAACGAGTTGTTGTTAAAATGACAATTATCTTATTAAAACGACATATAAAAACAACATATTATATCATAAAACAACATAACATGTGGCAGCAATATGCGCCATCATAAAAACACTTCTTTGTACTATTTAATTTAAACTGTTAAATTTATGTTTACAGATAAGTTGGCAACATTTCACATACAGTACAACTTGATCTGACTTACTTCAATGGATAATTACTCCGCAGAAGCATACACCACCACCTTCTAATTGTTGGCATGTCATACTGTAAAATAGAGCACTGATGAGCTAATGGTAACTAAGGATCTCTAAATAAATGACTTTGGAATTTAAGACTGACTTCTTTGAAATCAAAATGCCCCTCCAATACCACGTAGAGTGCATACTACAATACAAATTAAAGCTCATTTTAGCAGACAATGTACAATCATATACCAAAATGTTTGTTTTCTACAATATGCGCCATCATAAAACCACTTCTTTGTACTATTTAATTGAAACTGTTAAATTGATGTTTACAGATAAGTTGGCAACATTTCACATACAGTACAACTTGATCTGACTTGCTTCAATGGATAATTACTCAGCAGAAGCATACACCAGCACCTTCTAATTGTTGGCATGTCATACTGTAAAATAGAGCACTGATGAGCTAATGGTAACTAAGATCTCTAAATAAATGACTTTGGAATTTAAGACTTACTTAATTGAAATCAAAATGCCCCTCCAATACCACGTAGAGTGCATACTACAATACAAATTAAAGCTCATTTTAGCAGACAATGTACAATCATATACCAAAATGTTTTTCTATTCAATAATACCAATAAACAAAACATCAAATGCAAATTCTTTCAGATGTAGGACATTTATAATACTTTCTGGTGTGACTTAGGTTACAACACTGCATGGCTTACCATCAACACAAACACTCATTTACCATTATGCCCTGTTAAGTAAAAGTGCAACAATTAAACAAGGAACCACATTCCCATTTGTTCCACACATCGTGCATACAGAATATTTGATCAAGGGAATCTTTGCATTACCTGAAGGTCAGCAATATCCTTCACAACAGAAAGACAGGCATTCAAAATCTGTTAACATTCAAAGAAATGCATTTACAATCTGTGAAAATTTAAGGACATAAAAGGGGACATAGTACTATACAGTACTGCATGGGTTAAAGGGTAAAAATATATTATTTTTGCTGCATCTCACTGTTGCTTCTACATCACGTTGGTGCCCTAAAGTAAGGAAATCCATCCTGGTGAGGACTGTAGCTCCAACAGATGCCAAAAATTCATCGGCTGCTCCTGTCTCCATTAAGGCATGGTTTAGCTATGAAAATAACAGCAAAGTACTACAATGTGTCTTTTTTTGTTAGTCTTAAAACAATAAAAAAAAACTAACAGTAATTTAAAAAACAAACAAACAAAAAAAAAGCACCTTACCTGATTCAGCTGGACTGTACTAGAACTGGGTGACTGTTTCCAGCGTGCCTTGTTCGGCTGCACATCCTGTAGAGCAGTAATAACCACCGTGGAAGACTCAGAAGGGACTGAGGAGTACATAAAAGTGTAAATAAATTAATTTAAAAAAACATCCAGTTTAACGTCACATTACATATTTTTAAAAATTAACATGCATACATTGGTCATGTTTTCGCTTTTTTAAAAAAAATTTTTTAAAGGTTTCTATATCTCACATTTAAAGGATTTCTGCCAGTCACATGAAGGTAAATTTAAGAGGTAACACTTTACAATAAGGTGTCAATGGTTAATATTAGTTAATGTATTAATTAACATGAACTAACAATGAGCAATACATTTGTTACAGTATCTATTCATATTTGATAATATTAGTTAATGAAAAAGATGACAAACATGGGAAACATTTTTTGCAACGCATGCAACAATCAGTGTCATTAGCCTACTTTATTAATATAAGTGTTTCTGCTCTATTTTAAGACATCTCTAAAGGCTCATTTTAGGTGAAATAAGACTTTTAAAGACCCTTTAAAGACCAGTAGCAGAATCCCTGTCACTTCGAATACTAACACATATCATAAAATGTCATAAATGTCTGAAAATCACACACATTTGCAATCTATGATTATGACCAAAGCATCCTTACAATTAAAAGCCGTTAACACAAACATTGTTTTTAAGAAAACATAAGTAAGTACATCCGGAAGTGAATGAACCTGTACATGCGCAGTAACGCCAGTACGTACGGCGCGCATGCGTGTGATAGACATACCTTACGTCACTTTGCGCATGCGTGGTAAACACATACGTGACGTAGGTACGTGACGTCACCGCGCTACAGTCTGCAGCGAGGAGTACTTGAGCTGATGGCCTTGATTTTTTGGACTTCGCAGATACTGTAAACACCTTTAAAGTAAACTGGCTGAAAAGATGCCTTACAAATCCAATGGCACTGTGGTCGTTTATTCCAAATAAGATATTTGACCAACTCGGTGGCCTGTCTTTCTTACTAAAATGTAATTTCTTGCCTGGCAAGTTACCTATTTCCTTATCTAACTTCCATCAGCAATGTCTTCTTTCGTGGAAATTGTGTTTTGTCCATGGTTTCTCCCCCCACAAAGTTCTTCTTTGGAATAATGCTGATATAACTTAGAAATAAGTCTCTTTTTTTTCCTAGATGGTTTAATAACAACTTGAACAGTATTCTGTCTGTGCTTGATGATTTTGGTAATATTTGAACTTACAAACAATTTATGAATCTCCATAATTTTCATAATTGTTAATTTTCTTATATTGAATGCAAAATTCTTCATTCATAAGCAAAAATGGCTTAAATCTCCTTTGTCTTTCCT